ATAGCGGTGCCTGTAGTAACTTCTATCTGGAAAATACCTTGGAGAATATAACCTCCTTGTAGAATGGTGATAGTGGGAGTAAGATGAAAGGGAGGGTGATCTCGGAGAGCGAGATCTGCCTCTTGAATGCCTTGGGGATAGTACAGGTCTGTGCCAGTGATAGTGCTGCGGGGTTGGAGAATAACACGGTGAGTTGTGGCAGTGATGTAGAATGGAGCTGCCATGGGTCACAGCCTCTGAATGCACTGAACGTGGCGAAGCGGGGGAGGAAGGCTCAGGCGAAAAAGGCACTGGTTCCGGGCTAAGAGAGGGAGTGATGACCCTCCTGGATTTGCGCAATGCCTTGGATGGTGGCAGTGGGGAGTGGTGGAGTAGCAGCACTTGGGGCTCCAGTCCCATCAGCAGTATGGGTGATGTCGGTGCCGATGTAAGTGCACATGCATTTGGCGCCATGGTCAGTGCCACACTCAATGCGTTTTTGGTGCGTCGGTGCCGGCAAGTCCAGTGTTGGGGCTGTTGTTGGTGCTGGCTTCATCGCCGGTGCCATGATGGTTCTCAGCACCAGTATAGAAGACATTAGGTGTTGCTGCCGGTGCCGACTCTGCTCTAGGTGTTGACAGCATTATCTGCGCCTGTTCCCCTGAAAGGGTAGAACTCGCTGCTGATGTACTGCAGACAGCTTTATGCTTATCAGGGCTATAGAAGAGGCCGATTCCCGAGGTGCCTGGCTTTTCCGCTGCACTGATCCACTTAGATGGAGAGTGGCGGAGTGGAGAAGAGATCCCTGCATTTGCTCTTAGGGCAGCCCGCTTATCCTCTGCCTGAGCATCCAGAGACCGAGAAGCATCAGAGTCAGCCGGTTGTAGGGTCTTATTAAAGAGGAGCATCTTGAGCCGCATTTCGCAGTCTCGCCTGGCTCGCGCTGTAAATTTAGCGCAGTGTTGGCATTTTTGAGGGATGTGGCCCTTGCCCAAATACTTAATACATTGCAAATGCCCGTCCGAGGCGGGCATCACATCTTGACATGTCGCACACTTTTTTAAGCTGGGAGATCCCAGCATGTTATGTTCTGAGGCAACTAGTTAACTAGTTAACTACGAGGAAAAAATTTTTTTGAACTATAACTGTCTAGAACAACTAGGACTACTAAACTGGAATAAGTAAAACTACTAAATTAACACTATTTACAACTTTTCTGTCAGAATTGGAGGAGAAGAATGAACCCCATCTGCAGCTGTAGATGGTTAGGAGGAACCAGCAGGAGCCAGACCGTGCGTGCTCAGAGTTGGCGAGAATGGCGCACGACGCTTGCCGCGCATGAGCGGTCCGGCTGGACTATTTCTGCTGACTCTCCAATCTGTGGCACAGGATGAGACTGACACCTAGAGTGGAGCACCCATGGGGACACCACTCGAAGAAGAAAATGGAGTTTTGAGTAAGCAAATGATCTGTATTAATACTCCCACTAATGCTAGTTAGTGCAATAGTGGAAGATTCCCCAAAAAATCTTGTACAGACACAGCTACAGAGAGCTAAATAAAAACCTATAAAATGACCCCAATAAAAAGTCAAGAAAGACAATAAAATGTTGAAATGGATTGTGCTGGGGGTGGGGGGTAGCCCATAAAGCCTCTTCCCCTTTCCCCCAGACTCACAGCTGTTCAAACAGTGCCCCACAGCAGCCACTTTTCTCAGCAGCATGTGGGAGGCAGGCAAGCAAGGAGCCTGCCTGAGACTCCCCACTGCATCCAGAGACTGGATCTAGCCCGAGGGCAGTATTTTGCCCAGCCCTGCTCTAGAGCCTGCAGATTGGTAGACATGAGTGCAAGTAACTACCTGGACAGCGCTTTCTGCTTTGCTGTTCTCTCTCAACCTGCAGTCATTTCCCTAGATTTGTGCTGCCACTTTTTCCTCACACTATGCAATCTTTTCCCACCTTTCTTGCATGCTTATATATCTGGCGTTCAATCCGCTCATTGGGTTTTATCAAAAATATCTCCCGTGAACTCATCTTGGGACTATTTCCTTGCTAGTAGAGGGTCTACGACCACAGATTCCTAGCTCACTGTTTCATTCAGAGGTGAGACTTGAAGGATCTTGAAAGGAAAATAGAAGAATACATTATAATCTAACCATGATAAAAATACATTTTCTATTTTTTCAAAGGGTCTGTTTCAATTCAAAACCAGAAGATAATATTTTTTGTTTTATTCACACAAAAACCACTGGACAATTTAGACATCCTTTGGAACAATGAAAACCACCATACATCATGGTATATGTGTAGAAAATTAAATTTAAAAGGTTAATAAATCCTCTGCTATTTTCTGAGTAGGACAGTAGAGCCATATGACAGGACCTTTTCACTAGCTAGTATTTTACCAATTATTTGTGCTAGACAAGCTCTGGAAGACATTGATATGTTGAAGGTCTTCAAGTGGAAGTGGGAACTTTTGTTCCAGACCAGTCGTACATAGCCATCTGTGTACGTAAAGCAGCTTTTTAGGCACCTGGTGTTTGACCAGCAGATCCTGAAGAGGGGCCTTGTGAGCTAGAGGCGGCCCTAATAAGTAGGCCCTGTCCTGGTGCATAACCAGACATTTGTAGTTGCTTCCAGTTCCTAAAAATTGAGTGGGAAGTTTGGGATCGAAGGGCTGGGAAATAGGCCCAATGACTGTGGGCTAACACATTAGCCAGTTAGACTCTCCAAACCCAACTCTAACTATCCAGATTTGAGCTGCATTTACACTACAGAATCCCTGGGTTTGGATCTCACCAACTCAAGACTTCGGAATAGATCAATATGCTGGCTGAGTCTTCAGACTTTTGTCTGAATGATTTGCGTGTGGACAGTAATGTCTTGACCTTAAGCCTAAGGCCTTGCCTACACTTACCGGGAGATTGGCGATTCAGGAATCAATCTCCTGGGGGGTCAATTTAGCCAATCTATGGGTCTAGTAGATCGGGGGTGGGCAGGAGGTGGCTAACGGGCTGAATACGGCCCATCAAACCACTGGATCCAGCCCCACCTCGCCGGTACTCTTACCACACAGCAGCTCATGCTGTTTTAAACAGATGGCTAATTGCTCTGCAAGATGGGGCCGGGGGGAGGGAGGAGGGGAAAATTCACGCACTGCCCTCACCCCCAGCAAAATCCTTCAGCTCCCATTGGCTCTGGCAGAGTGAAGCCTCATTCCTATCCTCCCTCCCTCTGCTGGAGCAGAGCCACATGGAGCAGCCACTCCAGCAGACTGGCATGAGGCTGTCTCAGGTTCCTGTTGGGCTGTTGGCTGTTGGGCTCTACCCCCACCTGCCCCAGGTCATGACCCAAACCCTCTGTATCCCCTCTCCCCACCTTCTCCAGGTCACAACTCCCCCTCCCCCCCACACACACCCCTCCCCCAGGCCAGAATCCTCTCCTGCACCCATACCCCCTCCTGGACCCTGCACCCCAAGCCCCTGCCCCAGACCATAACCCCCTCCTTCACCTAAACTCCCTCAGACCCCACCCCCCGTCCTACACACCAGTTCTCTGTGTCAAACTTCCTTCTGCACCCACCCGCTGGCCCAAACCCTGCACCCAGTCCATAAAAGTGCAGTCCTTGACCACTTACCACAATCTTGGCATGGCTCCCTACTAAAAATTATTGCCCATCCCTGCACAAAGTCTGCCACTGATCACACGCCAGTCAACTCTGGTACTCCACTAGATCAAAAAGAATAAGTGAAGTTTCTCCCATCTACACCCCACAGTAAAGACACTGCAGTAACTCAAACTAAGGTACGCTGACTCAGGCTATGCTATTTACGTAACTGGAGTTATGTACTTTAATTCAACTTTGTCCCCCCAGTGTAGAGGTGGCCTATCCCAAAGCCCAGGGGTCACTGAAATCAGTGGATCTTTACACTTATCTATGCACTTTGAATCACTACCTATATTCTAAGTTTATAGAATCTTCCTCTTTCCAGTAGAGCTGGAAATCTGATTATTGATAATGAGCCCTCTGCACTCCCCTTCCAACACATGGTAAATCTTCGATAAATCTTCAGCCCTTACAATACATGCTCTTACTTCAAGATCTGCTATTACTCCAAACTAATACTGTACAGACTTCTTAGCTCTTCTCAGATGCCCTCCTCATCTGAATATATGCAGAGCATATTCTCCAATAAACACTCCAATATAGTTCTGTGTAGTTATGCAACAGACTTAAGTTAGTCTAAAGCTAGATGTAAACTGGATCATTTAATAAATCACCAAGCTTGAGAAAAAAAAAATCACCAGCACTAGCACCTTAGGTCTTAAACTAGAAAATACTAGCAGGAGTTACCCAATGTTGCTCAGGAAAGTGGAGGAACAAACTTTAGGAAAACAGTAGTCCATTATCATTTTTTGAATAGTAGAAGAGTTGCACTGAGTGCTATAGGGATTAAAATATATATTAAGAAAAGTATAAACCAATTTTACATTATCATCCAAAACTTTATTGTAAACTATATTTTTTCATTATTCTTAATATGTATAAATTTTTTCCACTTCCAACTCTTGAACACACAACAGAGTCATCCAAGTGAAAAGCAAGAGGTCTCCAAATCAATTCCAACTACTTGACTCTCCTTGTGCTTTGTCAGTATACATTGTTAAAATATAAGTTGACAGTTGATATAACTGAGGTGAGAAGCCTGAGGAGAGGGAGAGTGGAGGGAGCTGCACGCCTGCCACCGGCACCCGAGCCCGTCCTCCGCTTTCTTGTCCCTCCGCTGGCCTTAGTGACTGGCCCCGCCACTTCCCTTGGGAAGCCACTTCTCCCCGCACTGCCAAGCTCCGTGCAGCCCTGGGGAGAGGCGTCTGTCTCTCATCTCTTTCCTCCCACAGTCCCGTAAAACCGTCTCCTGGATAAAAGGTTACCCTATACAAAGTTTGGTTGTGGTAGTTCTTATAGTGTTCAAGTTATTAGAGCACAAACATTCTCCTTTATATATTAGATTATAACAGTAAATTTAAAAAAAAAGTTCACTTTATTACAAAAGAGAATCAAATGACAAAATATTACATTTCTTAAGTAATATTCAAGCATTGCAAAGAATGAAGTTTAATTCATACACAGCCAGTGGAAGCACACAGGACTACCAGGCACAATAAGTAACTTTAAATATCTATATTATAATAGCAAGAAAAAGCTATTTTTCAATAGTCAAATCAAGTTCATACTTTAATATTTTTGATACTCTACATTTATACTTTTTACATAACACATTTCAGCATACAGTAAGTTACTATATACCAAATCTGCAAAACACGGACTAAAAAATTTGAATGTAATGATATATTCCCCAAAATATGTAAAAATTGAACACAGTCCAATTATCTTTTTCTTAGGAGAGACAGTTTCTCACCCCAAAAATTAAGATTTCATACAATAGACTTAATTCTGCTTTGCAGAGTTTCCATATAAAAAAAAAACATTGCTTTCAGTAGGTGTTAAGTATATATTCAATTAACTCAAACCCTGCATTTTTCAGAACTTAAAAAATTGAAACTTAACCACTCTGAAATTCCATTTTATTTCCTGCTTTTTATAATACAGAAGTAGCATTTTTAGAAGTAACCATCACACTTCTTCAAATTATTAATTGCTTTTCCTTAAAAAAGTCTGAGACAACCACCTAACCTCAGGATGTTGCAAATAATGACACTCATCTTCCTACATTAGTTTCAGTTAACATAACTTTAAAATATTCACAGGCCATAGTTTTGTAATTAAACAGACAACTGAAATCATCTCAGCAGATTTAGATGTGGATGAGTAAAATACCTGTGTGTAACTAAATACATTACTTGTTTGCAACAATAAATTATCTATCTAGATTTTACACAACACCTGTCACTGTATACGTGTACCACTTTTAATGACCAAGTATAAACACTTACAGAACTCTATATTGCAATAGTATCAATCAGGATCAGGCCCCATCATGACTGGCACTTTGTGAGAATCACTAATTTTGTGCAGGTTAGTCTTAAATAACTGTAAAGAACACCAATTTTTCAGCTATGAGGAAACTTGAACATGGAAATAAACCTAATAGCGAAAAGCATGTACCTGACTTTTAAAGATGGTATGAAGTATTTGTTCATACAAAACCTACAAAGCATAGTGTTATCCCCCCAGAGAAAAGGACAATGTTGGTTAATGAAGATAAACGCATTATTATCTTTATTTAAAGTTCCAATGGCAGCTCATCTTCAATTTGAGAAAAAACAGTTTCAGTACAATTATGAAGTCCAACGCCACCAAGCTACTTTCATTCTGTCCCACACAGCAGAGAAAGAATCAAATGCAGGACGGACATCCAAGATGGTGAACTGATAATTCTTATCTACTTCCCCACCATCATAATAATCAATAACATATCTGACTTCTTTTCCACAACGATCAACAATCCAATCATGTCTGTCAAAAGGAAGTTCATATCTGGAAAGAAATTTGAGAAAATTAACTAATTTATTAACTATTAAATAAAAATTACATTTCATAAAATGGGCACCAAAGTCATGTGGACTATATATATAGGATATTTTTTACAATATGCATGTCTCTGTTCAGGTAAATACAGTTTGAATCTATAGTTCTAAAACATTTTAAAAATTTACTTCTACATCACATTTCAACATAATGGGGAGGGGCGGGGGAGAGAAAAAAAAAAAAAAAATCACACTTCCAGTTTTGCATACATACCCCATCCAAGATCGTATTCTAGCTCTGGGTGAATATTCCTTAGCTTTACCTCCAAACCGCATCAATGATGGTCCACATGGGCATTCTCTAAATATATTTTGAACAATTAAAAAAAACAGTTTTAAGACAGATAATGAACTAGCTTATATTAATATGCAATATATAAGTTGCATATTAGATAACTGCATGGTAAAATATGTTATTTAAATAAGAATTTACCTTAAAACAAGTCAGCAGTAAGCTCTCAATAAATGTGAAAGTAACAGAGTTATCTAACACAGTGGTTCCCAACCTTTTTTATACTGCAGAGCAGCAAACTAATTCACAAATTTTTGGCAGACTGGTAACATTTCATTTGCATATCTCTCTATTCATTATGCAAATTCATTTAAATATCTGCTTAACATCATTAGGATCAGAGTTTGCAGGTCTCTACAACACTAAAAAAAATCTGTTAAAAGAATTCTTTCCTTTCTTAAGCCTTCGTAACTTCGTAAACTTTTTGTTTGAAATGTAATCATGCAAATAACACAAGCTAGGTCTTTTGTTCAGGTTTCAAAAGCAGCTTTAAAGGCTTTTAACACATATGAAATCTTTGCACCACCCCATACAGCAGGAGTCTGCAACCTTTTCAAACCAAAAAGCCAAACTACATCAAAATTCAGAACCAGTGGTAAACGAAGAGCCATATAAGAACACTAATTTGTTGTATATCTGAAAATATACAACATATTACAGTAAACTTCCGATAATATGGCACCTTTAGGACCCAGGGGATGCCGGATTATCAAATATGCCGGACTATCAGAAGGGGGGGCTATGAGGGGGCCTGGCCCCAGATCCCTCATAGCCCCCCCTTTCCGATAGTACGGCTCTGCCCCAGGCGTCCCTGATTCAGCCGCTGCTGGTCATATCTGAAAATATACAACATATTACAGTAAACTTCCGATAATATGGCACCTTTAGGACCCAGGGGATGCCGGATTATCAAATATGCCGGACTATCAGAAGGGGGGGCTATGAGGGGGCCTGGCCCCAGATCCCTCATAGCCCCCCCTTTCCGATAGTACGGCTCTGCCCCAGGCGTCCCTGATTCAGCCGCTGCTGGTCAGTTTCAGCAGC